ATGGATTTTTGCATGTATAATTCTTGTTGCAATGAAATCGTCAAAACTTTGCATTTTGGAAAAGGAAATCTAAAGTAGCATAGAAGAGAACTGCAGAAATCCTAATTTGTGATTTTTAGTGCGGTTGCATTATTAAAATAACGATTATAACCTTATTTCACATGTCTTATAAATTATAATTCCTAATAAAGTGTTCAAGAAGAGGATTTGCATGGAGAACACTTTATATATAAAAAAATGATAATAAAATAAGCTTATAAGCCTCACATGGATCATTCCAAAGTACTCCTCACGAAATATGGTCATGAATGTATACGGTACTGATGAGGCGATAATGCCTAAGTTTAGGCCGATCATCAGCAAAGCTACAGTAATCGCCAAGATAGCGCTGAATAGCGAGAGAGTCCATAGTGCTGCACTGATAATAATCAGGCAACATAGCTGGACACGGTAGACTTCTAATCTAAACAGAGAGTTTTTAAAACAGAGATTACAGAAGGAATAAACGCAGTTTAACTTTTTGTTCATCTAAATGTCCGCTTATTCCTCGTTCATATGCAAGACACATAAATTAAATCCACTCAGGACCCACTTTTCGGTTATGTAGGATGTGAGTATAGACCCGATGAAGATCGCCGAACCAAACGCGAAATAGACCCAGAATAATTGGCCGTTGGGAATTTTCGTTCGACATTCGGTCCATGAGTAGCTCAGCGAGACAAAAGTTATCTGAAAAACCCTTTTTTGTGAATATAAGGAACATTAGTGGAGAATAGAGTGTCGTTAAATTCTTAAATTAGTTTTGCGAGCATCTTTAGAAAATTACTAATCACTTTGAAAGCCTTCTTAACTCATTGTACTTTTTTGCCGTTTGAGTTCTCAAATCCCACTAAGCTTGATTATCTTAAGATCAGGAAAATTGAAATTCTAATCCTTAGAGCTTACCGTAAATCCATAGCTAATCATCAGCAACGCATGAATAAGAAACGCTTTAGAACGCGTTTGCAAGATTTTAGTTGATTCCAGAAACTTCTCCAGA